TCAGGATTTGCAAAATCTTTTTAATTCAGATATTGAAGAATCAGATTTTGATGGCTTCATATGATGTATAGTTTGCTGTAATTCCTTTTGTAAGTAAAATTTAAAATTTCCTTTTGTCATCCAAATTTAACATTTCGTTGTTGCAACTTTTTTTATAATATAATCTGAGTATTATGAATATGGACTTCTTTAGTGGGTAAATATAAGTATATTCGTGAACGTAAATATATTTTCAACATTTCTTACCTTTAATTTATTTTTGAGTTATGGTTTCATTTCATGCATTTTTCTTAACTGATATGTCATATATCAGGACATAGGTTGAGATTTTGCATCTATACGGGCCACGATGATGTCACATGCAAATTAATCTACTGCGGCGTTTCTGTGTAATTTAAATTTTTTTTCCAGCCATTTTTCCCGAAGTGCGGCGTTTACACAGATGCGGCCTTTCTTCCGGAAATTACGGTACTCTTTTCTTCTGTTTGAACAACTGCAAAAATTTTATATCTGTGCTGGAATTCAGCAGGCATAATTTTTATCAAAACATGATGGTTAAAAAAATACATTCCAGAATGCTTATGAATTCATTTGACAAAATATAACAAAAACTTAATTTCTTAGGAGGTACACAAAAATAAATGCTTAAATTGAATACTCAGTAGCATTAATATTCTTAGAGTGCATTTTAAGTACAATTCACATACATAACATTATATACGATTGCTCTTTGAGTCCATTATATATAATATTATGTATATATATTAAGGGTCATTCAAATGAAAGTGGCATTGCTTTAATAACTCCACCATTTGAAGAGAAATATGGCTGCACATGCCCCTATAGAGGGTGCAGGGTGCTGGGAGTGCATGCGATATCCTCAGATTCTGCCAGGTGCGTATCTGATAGCATCGGAACACATTAAAAGGCATTGTTTGCATCACGGATGCCTTCAAATGGTGTCTACACGTGAACGTGCAATTTTTAACAGCGAAAAATAAGTTTCTGAAATCTATTGTCAAATGCAAAATGTGTATGGCCTGAAGTGTATGAAACACAGATCACTATTCCGATGATGTAGGGATTTTTGTAGTGGAAGAAAAAGTATTGATCACAGGCCATGACCTGGTTAAGCGCATGTGGTGATCACCCAGGAAGCAGTTGCGAATGTGAACCGTCTCGTGAAAATGAATCGGCAAATCATCACTCGAGAAATAACGGAGGAAATGTCTACGAGCATAGAAAGTGTGCACAATAATACGTGAAAAGTTGCAATACCACAAGGTTTGTATGCAATGGGTGCCAAAACATTTGACAGAGGAGCAGATTTTCATCACATGTCTGTTTCCATGTAACACCTTATGAGGTACCACGAAATGGGGAATCGATTCCTTTCAAGGATCACTCTGATAATGAAACATGGTGCCATTACTCTGAGCCAGCCACCAAAAACATGAGCATGGAATGATGACACTCTTTATCCCCACTCCCAAAGAAGGCTCACACATCTGCTAGTAAAGTCATGTTAATATGCTTCTTTAACGTCCATGGCTCACTACTGTTGGAATGGCTACCTATGGGCACCACTGCCACATACTATTCCACATTACAGACACTGAGACAAAATATCAAGAACCGCCGACGTTGCATGCTGTCACGTGGGGTTATCCTCTTGCATGATAATGCTCTCATGTGGCTGATGCGTGCCAAACACTGTTAAGGCAATTCCTCTGGAAAGTTCTTGAATGTCCCCCTTAGAGACCGGACCTCTCGCTGTGTGACTACCACATTTTCGGTCCATTCAAATCTCTGAAGGAACGGCAATTGACTGACGATAAAGAGCTCCAAGCTGCTGTTGAAAATTGGTTCCACAACCAACCCTGGAACTTCTTCACTCAGGGCTACCATCATCTCGTTGACCACTGGATACTTGTTTCAACCTACAAGGTGACTTTGTCTAGCCTATCTGTTACATCTGCATTACTTCTTTCTTTTGTATACTAATTTATATTAATATCATTGAATCTTTTTGCAAACCATCTGCAGTGTTACTTTCATTTGAACGACCCTTATGTGTGTGTGTGTGAATTATATACCGTAATTTCCGGAAGAAAGGCCGCATCAGCGTAAACGAAGCACTCGAGAAAAATGGCGGGAAAAAAATTTTAATTACACAGAAACGCCACAATAGATTAAATTGCATGTGACATCATCGTGGCCCGTATAGATGCAAAATCTCAACCTATGTCCTGATATATGACATATCACTTAGGAAAAACGCATGAAATGAAACCATAATTCAAAAATAAATTAAAGGTAAGAAATGTTGAAATATTTACATTCACGAATTACTTATATTTACCACTAAAGAAGTCCATATTCGAAATACTCAGATATATTATAAAAATGATCATGAAACGAAATATTTAATTTGGATGACAAAAGGAAAATTTTAAATTTTACTTACAAAAGGAATTACAGTAACTTACATCCTATGAAGCCTCAAATCTGATCTTCAATATCTGAATTAAAAGATTGCAAATCCTGATCTAAGTCTTCCAGATCGCACATTAATCCTCTTGTTTCAGTTCTTTATCTAAGGAATATTGGAATTCAGCTTCTTTGACCTGCTAATTGGGATGTTTTTATGATTTCCAGCATTCCTACCTACTTTGCAACTTCTTCATAAGAGCTCTATGATTGTATTGCTTGGTACGTACGCAATCCTTCACTATCCAACATCCCACGCTTCAGACTTCAGCTTTGAGGATTTTACGGAAAATCTAATGGTTGTAGATTTTTGTCAAACCACCAGTATTATTGCTAGCGTGCTGGATCCTTATCAATACCCTTTGGTTTGAAAAAAGATCCCCTATGCGACTGCCAAACGTTTATAGCCCTCTGCCGATGTTTCACATATCAGCGTTCTCATTGACAATATAATTACGTCATTAGGAAATATCCTTCGGAATAGTTTTTTTTGTTAAAAAGATCATTGGCTTAAATTGTACGCTTGCGGCACATGCTCACACAATGTAAATGACATTCTTCATGCACATCGTAAGATAAATACAGTTTTGCCCAGTTTCATAACAGTTCTGTTTGCGGCGAGTTGAAAGCTAACAGCATTTCATTCAGATTTCTTATCCCGACAGAGATTTTTTTTTTTTTGTCAATAATATCTGTCACATATTTTAGAAAAGATGCCTTTTATCCTGCCAGTCCTTGGAATTTTGCCCGACGTTGATTTTTCTTTCATAATCGGCTACCAGCAATCCTTTCCTAATCTTTATGTTATTTGTTTTGCTATAAGTTTTGTTGTAAGCGAATTTTACAGTCGAAGTTGACTTCCTTTCATCGTTGCTCCTTTATACTTTGCATATCCTCTTTTCAGCACCTTAAATACCACTTTTGTGGCTCTCGTTTTGTCATCTTTAAGTCGTCCTTTTTCAGTTCTCCAACGTCAATAATTTCGTCCTTTTCAAACTCCAGCGCTCTCTATTTCCAATTTGTCAGCATGTGAAATTACAATAGCCTAAAACCAGCAGTAGCTTCTGTCTGTTAGGTCCATTTTCAAAAATTTTCACTCCCTTCTTACTTAAAAACTATCCACAAGTACTTTACCCCAACTGATGGGTCTGGACTGCAGCATGCCAACAAAATCGATTCTCTGAAGAGGAATACGTCAGATTCGTATTGCGAGGAAGGTGAAGCCGGTCCGCCTTTGAAAAAATTGAGAGCAAAAAGGAGGAGGGGGAGGTTGGGTCCTGGAGATCATGGAATGGTAGAGGAGAGAGACTATTCAAAATGATGAGAATGCTGATTTGAAAGGGGGAAGAATGTTATTGTTCTGAGATGCCGTTTAGGGTGACTAGGATGTAGGTCCATTCAAGGGAAAGAATGTAAACAAAATAACGTTTGCTAAAAGCAACTGAGTGGTCTTTTTTGTGGGAACGTCACATGGGTAGAAACGCCGCGCCCGCTGAAAATTTAAGTTTTAAACCCGTAAATGCTGCGGAATTTCTTCCAGAAATTACGGTATATGTCTTTATGTTATACAACTTGTTGAATTATATACATATGATATTATATATTTATGAATTTCTTAGTAGAAATATTATATATAATTGCCCTTTCTAATTTTAATAAAGAAAAGGAAAAGAGGAAAATTTACATGACATTTAGGTTGTTACAGTTATTTCCCTCAGTGATACTTTTTCAGAATGCATTTTAAAATTAACATCAATCGGTTACATAGAATTAAAATTTTTTAAAAATGAATGCTCTAAAACAGAGTTTCTTAAACTATGGGGTTGCGATCCACATGGGGTTACAGGACCTGCAGCACAGGGTCGCCAAAAATTTTAGCAGTTTTGATTTTTCTTTGACTTATTATATTGTAATAATCTCACAATCACCAAATATTTTTACACAATGTATCTGAAAATAGATAAAGATAAGATAGTACAGACAAAGATAAAGACAAAAACGTTTTGACGCATTCTTTTTATAATATAAACGTTCATTTTACTCGCTTTGCATGCGACGCTGTCATTTTGTCTGTTAATTATTTAAAACTTTCACACTATCTATGTCTAAATTAGAAATTAAATTTAATGAACAAAACTTCAATAGTATATAAGTACAATGAAAAATTTGACAGTCACACAAGGTGTGTCGATTTGCACAATGCTTATGGGGTCCCACAAAATTTTTGTAAATATTATGGGGTCCTGAGGCCACAAAAAAAAAAAAAAAAAAAAAAAAAAAAAAATCTCAGTGATAAAAAGGGGTCATGACTGAAAAAAGTTTAAGAAGCCCTGCTCTAAAACATACATAATTATACAAATTTTAGTACCCAAAAATCTTAAAGCCACATAAGTATTATTTAAATGAGTAACATCATGGTACAATAAACAAATTTAAAATATTACACAATAAAGATATTGTATAGCAGTAACAATATACAATTATTGATTTCAATTTCAATAAAAACTCACCCCATTTTCATGTAAATAATTTACAGTACTAATCAAAACTTCTAATATGGCACTAGCATCTCTCTCACAAAATGATTGTTGTTTCAGAATCCTATCTATTAATTCTCCACCTGCAAGCAATTCCATGACCAAATAAACATATTCTGCATCCTCAAATACCTAAAATGAGAAATAAATTCATATAAACTTTAAAAGTTGCATTTGACTCAGCCTTTTCTAAGATGACAGGTATTTTTCATGTAATGAGAGACTCTACATATGTCAGATCAAAATGTTAAAATTTACAGGAGATTTAACAAAACAGAAGATAAATTTTCATTCAGAATTTCCAATATTCAGTTTTTTACATTGAAATCACTTAAATCAGACTTGCAGATATTTTAATGCATCATAAATTCAATGATATGTTTTTAAATAATTTTAATACAATTAAGCACCTACAAAATTCAAAATTATGCATGTTTAGAAAGAGAAAGACATTCCAGTCCCATTCAAAAATAAAATCATTCAGTTTCTTCAAAATGAAATAAATATTGTTCATACTTCAGGAAACGGCAAATGTTACAGCAATTCAAAAGAGAGAAGGATGACTAAATGTTAATATTTTAATATTTGCAACAACATGGTTTATAATAAATTTATCATTGAAATATTGTCTCAGTATTTAGCAGTTAGAAGTTATTAGATTTATGAAGTATTATCAAAATAATTTTTGCTTAAACTATCATATTTTAAATTCATAAATAAGTATGAATGTTTAAATGATGTATGAATAAAAAATTTTACAATTAAAAACTTCTAATGTCTCAGCATCTTCTGATAAACTTTGAATTAGAATTTAATCACATAATAGCAATGCATAGTTTCCCTTTAAAATACTACAACCTCAAAATAAAATGGGTTCGGTTTTCAATTATGATCTGATGATTAAAAACTTTCCAAGACTGATCTGGTAACCACATAACACTCATATTTGTGATATACTTTCATTTACATACATTAAACTTTTTTATTATTATTACTGAAATTCACTGTGAAAAACAATTCAACTTTTTCAAGAGCATTTTCTTCAGGTTAAAGCTGAATTACTACTTGAATACATATTTTTAAATGGCTTCCTGGATTTCACAATCATTATCCTCAACAAATTCATCTAAAAGTTTCTTAATTTTATGAATTCTAATAAACACTTTTTATAACAGAAATGCTAAAGAAGCTAGCTACTAAAGATATTATTTTTGTAATAAAAAAATTACCTTCTATATGGATAGCATTTTTCAACAAATCACAAACTCATGTATTTTTGTTTATAATAGCTAGTGCAGGTCCAATTAAATTTATGTCTAAAATGATAATTATAAAAAAGATTGTAAAGAGCAAGATGAAACTAAAATAAATGCAACAAAAAATCTGAAAGGGTTCAGATTTTAACAATTGCCTGAAAGGCTTCTTTTAAAGTTTAATATGGTTTAACAGTAGGTACTATTGATAGATATGATCAGGGTGGAATACCAAAGCATTTTATAGGATATTAGATGAACGTTCATTTAGACAATACATCTTCTATATATTTAAGAAGTGAAAAATATGAAATCCCTTTCTATAAAAATATTTAATGTTTTTATATTTAAATTTAAATATTGTCTCAGTATTAGCATTTAAAGATTAGATTTCTGAAGTTTATCAAATAATTTTTGCTAAACCTCATATTAATTCAAATAAGTATGAATGTTTAATGAGTATAATCAAAATTTTACATTAAAAATGTTCAGCATCTTCTGCTAAACTTGAATTAGATTAATCACATAATGCAATGCATAGTTTCCTTTAAAATACTACAACCTCAAAATAAAAGGGTTCAATTAAATAAGATAAATGGACATGCGAAAAAAAAGGGGGGACGTTCTATATCTCCCATTTATGACGATTGACGAATTCAATTGGGTTCATGTCTGAAGCATACTAGGATATGTATTACATTTATATATGCATTGTTCTAATATAGGTATTTTGACAAAAAATCGACATTTTCTGAAATACACACCAATTTTTTTTCATATTTCAATCTACGATTCAATTACGCAAACTTCGAGTTTTTGTAAAATCGCATGAGATTTACAAAGTAGCTCTCAAATTTTGCTCCTCATGTTAATTGATGTCATCTATTTATTAATCTCTTTTTAGTACACTTATTGATCTACCTTTCACATTTCAAAATTAAGGTTCATTCCAACAAAATTCGTCCATTTTTATGACTTATTTTGAAATTTGTATTTTTAAATAATTTTTTAAATTTTTCAAAGAACATTTTGAATTGTAATTAAAATTTTTCCCACTTAAGTCACTTATTTCTAAGCAGACTCAAAAAGTAGTTTTTTAGTCAAATTCGAAGATATACTTGAATTTAGATTGGCTCATTTGAAATTGGCATAGTGTTGAAGCGATAAACATCAAATGTTTTTAAGCTTTGCAAATTATTTGAAATAAGAAAGATGGGACTTTATTCTGCTAATGACATGTAAAAAGGTAGCATGAGGTGCTTTTTTCCGCTTCGCTAATGGAAGGGAAGGAAAATTGGTGCCAATATTAAAAGTGCGCCAGTGAATATTCTTGCGCAATTGAAAAAAATTGCAATAAATTTTGAATTCTTAGTAATTTTACACCAACTTTTACAAAATAATATCTAGGCATATTTGAATAGAAGGCTCAGGTGCTGGGCACTTCTTCTCAGGCGCCTCGGCTGGGAAAGCCGCATCCTGTGTCTATCACGTGTAAGGTGGCATATCTTTTTTATCTGGCATATTACTTAAAGAGGAAGAAGATTCCTCGTGATAAGCAGTGGACGTGATAAAATGGATGAGCCTTTCGCATAAACAGCACGGAGAGTTAGTCGTATTCATGGCTGGAGCTGCGAAAAAAACCTAAGTGTGATTAACATACGCTACTGCTACGTTGTCCGGCACTCTAATGAAGATGGAAAGGCATGCAGAGATGGTCGAAGAGGTGCAGGGAGGAGCTACTGGTCACGTGTGCCAATGGTCGATATGAAAAGAAAGTACACAGTCTTGCTTGTCAGGCATTGGATGGGGGGAGGGGCTTAGCTAAAAGTTTTTTCTTATTGAGGATTCGAATTAAAAGAAAACTGGGAAATATATGCAAAAGTTCGCATAATAACTAAAAAGGAAAACGTATGAGAGTGAAAGGATCATAAGCTAAAATAATAAGTGGCCTAAATAACTATTATGTGTGGCAGTAACAGAGTTTTGGAAGATAGAGTAATAAGAATATAATTGGAAGTGCGTGGGATTGAATGTAGATGGCGACATTTATGCGTGTCTTAAGATACCATAGAAATAATATTGCTAATGCAATTGAATTTTACGAATTTTGGTATGAGAAATTAACCTATAATTTGGGTACAGCTACATTAAATGCCGGAGTACAGCTCCTGGTCTCTTTTTGTTTTCTTCATCCGTGTAGTCATAAGTCAACCTGGGAATAGAACTATTGTTGACTTTTTCAATATTGTTAAAAAAAATTTTTGCAATACAAATACTGATGCTGTCAATATTTAGTTCATTATGAATGGCTTCGTTTCTGAAGTACCAGTGACTATTAGAGATTCTTCTCAGTGTAATATTCTGGCATTGCTGGATTTTTTTTGCATGTACGTTTTACAAACATACTCCCAGACGAGACAGGCATAAGTAACAATTGGTCGCAGCATGGATCTGAATACATGAAGTTTGTTATGGATAGATAAAACCGAGTTTCGGGCAATTAGGGGGTTGAGTAATGCTTTAGTTCCCCAAAACTTATTCAGGATATGTGTAATGTGTGGGGCCCATGTGAGTTTTTGGTCTAAAATGACACCAAGGTATTTGACTTGCTTGGCCCAGGGAATGGTGACTTCATACATCTGGAGGGTGATACTCAGGTCGACGATTCTTTTTTTGGTGAAGTAAACAGCTTCGGATTTTTCGACGTTCGTTTTAATTTTCCATTTGAGCATCCAGGACTCTAATGCATGGATGTGTTCTTGTAGTGTATGTACGACTGCGGCCATGGACGCATCTTGGTATAGGATCGCAGTATCGTCTGCATAAAGTGCGAGTGTAGTGCGGGGGTGGTGTGGGATGTCGTTCGTATAAATTGAAAATAATGTGGGCGAAAGTAAACTTCCTTGAGGTAAACCCGCAAGAGTTACTTTCCGTGTGGAGTGAGTATTGTTATATCGAACGACAAAGTGTCTATCGTAGAGATAGGAATTAATGATGTTTATGATGTAATCTGGGAATCCCAGAGTGAGTAATTTGTAAGTGAGGCCCTGTAACCATACACAGTCAAAGGCTTTCGAAATATCGAGGAAGAGAGCTCCTGTGATTTGCCTCCTCTGGAAGCCGTCTGCAATCATCTCAGTAACTCGGTAGAGTTGGTGCGTAGTTGAGTGTTTACTTCTGAACCCATATTGCTGTGGGATGAGGACGTTGTTATCTGTTAGGAAGTCTTGCACTCTCTTCAAGATGACTGCTTCTGCAATTTTGCTTAGAGTCGATAGCAAGCTAATCGGTCTGTATGAGGTAGCCAGGGTGGGATCCTTTCCTGGTTTTAGAATTGGAGCGATGATGGCTGTTTTCCAATTGGTCGGAAAGTACTGGAGGCGGAGCATGGCGCTCCCATCTCTTTAAGCATTTTATTACTGATTTTATCCAGTCCAGGGCTTTTTCGGTTTTTTCTCTTCTCGATATAACTAATAACCTCTGATGGCATAATTAAGGAGTGTTGTTTGTGTGTGTTTTTGTTTTGAAATTGTGTGATGAGTGATGCGACTGTGAGTTCTGTTTGGGGGTTAGAAATACTGTGAGTGCGAAATTGAGAAGCATAGTGATCTGCAATAGACTCAGCTTTCTCAAAATCGGTGTATGCGATCCCGTTGGGGCCATTAATGGGCGGAATATTAGTGTTGCGTCTTTTAAATTTAGAAACAGCGTTCCACAGAGAATTATCATCCGTGGAAAGTGATTCTAAATGTCTGGCCCAGTCAAGTTGTGCATGTTTTTTTAATAGAGTCCTGACTTGCTGGTTGAGTTGATTTAATAGTGCTTTGTCCGTAGGGACATCTGAATCTCTGCCACTGCTTACGAGTGTGATTTCTGCGT